AATAATTCCTAGCTGTGTGACTCTGGGCAAGTCACTTAACCCCAATTGCCTCACTTAAAAAATAGAATTGGACAAAGAGGAGGTAATGACTTTAAAAAACACAAAGAAATAAGAAAACAAAGTCCAAAGAATGAAAAAAAATGAAGAGAATGTAAAATATCCCATTAGAAAAACAACTGATTCGGAAAACAGATCAAGCCGAGACAATATAAGAACTGCTGGACTTCCTAAAAGTAATAGTAAAAAAAAAAAAAGAATATAGCAACTGTGCTGTAAGAAATTATTAAGGAAAATTGCCCTGAAGTTTTAGAACCAGAAGACAAAATGCAAATTGGAAAAAATGTACCATTTCCTACCTGTAAGAGTTTCCAAAATGAAATGTCACAGGACCATCATAGCTAAGTTTCAAAGATCCTAATTTAAGGAGAAATATTAAAAGCAACTAGAAGGAAATAACTTTTATAATGTGATACTACAGTCATGATGATACAATATCTTTTACATTAAAAGACCAAAGGGCAGGGAATATGATATTCCAAAGAGCAAAGGACCTGGACTTGTAACCAAGAATAATTTACTCAACAAAGTTGAATGCAATCCTGAATGGAAAAAAGGGATATTTAATAAATTAAAGGACTTTCATATATTCTTGAGGTAAAGACCAGAACTGAACTCAAAATTTGACCTATAAGAATTAGAAGCATAAGAAGATAAACATTAATGACTCATTATAAATGATTCAATAAGATCAAACTATTTACTCCTCATATTGAAAAAATATTATCTGTAACCACACACACACACACACACACACACACACACACACACACACACATATTAGGCAATTGGGGTTAAGTGACTTTCCCAGGGTCACACAGCTCGTAAGTGTCAAATGTTTGCTCTGAGACTGGATTTGTACTCAGATCCTCCTGAGTTCAGGGCCAGAGCTCTATCCACTAAGCTACCAGCTGCCTCAAATAAGGGTTTTTTTTTGTCTGTTTTTTTTTGGGGGGGGCTTAGGCAATGAGGTTAAACGACTTGCAGAAGGTCACACAGCTAGTAAGTGTTATGTGTCTGAGGCCAGATTTCAACTCAGGTCCTCCTAAATTCAGGGCCAGTGCTCTATCTACTGTGCTACCTAGCTGTCCCTTATCTGTAACTCTTAAGAATTTTATCATTGCTAAGATAGTTCGAAAAGAGCATACATGAAGAAAACCTTTGAGATTGAGTTGAGTATAATGGGATAATGCTAAAAAAAAAAACATGGTTAGGAAGAGAACAATTATCTCATACTAACAAGGTATGAATTAAGAACAGATACAGAGAAGGGCAGCAGGGGGTAAAGAGCTAATAGTGCTAGAGACCTATTTTCATTAAAACAAATGTTTTTAGTACAATATTAAAATATGTTACAAAAGAGATAAACCATGTTTTGTGGGGGGACAGTACCAGCAGCTCAAAGAAAATAGAAAAGGCTTCACATCCAAAGTGGCCTAAAAGTTGAACCTGAAACTTAGAATTCCAATAAAAGGTGATGAGGAAAGCGTTCATCCTAAGCATGGAGACAACCTTTACAAATCATGAAGATGACAGATGGTGCACGGACCATGAAAAAGTGTGTTCTCTTTGGCTATATTAAAATGTGTGTGAAAGATTATAAAGAAAATAAATTTAGATATTTAGGTTGGGACCAGGTTATGAAAAGTTTTAGATACTTGTTCGGTTTACATTTGTCAATAAAGTACCAAAACACAACTGGAATTCTGCAAATATGGAAGTATCATTCCAAGACCTCTGATTTAGGAAAATCCTTTGCCAGCTCAAGGGAGACTAGTGGGCCTCAGGAGACATATGAGCAGTTAGGTTAGACAATAATTAGAAGGTTATTGAAATAATCCAGAGAAGACATGATAAAGTTTCAAACTAGGGTAATGATTAAGTGAGCAGAAATGAGCCAAGTGGGTCTCAAATGATTGTGTGTTGGCAGAAATTATGACTGAGCAAGTGATTGGCTAAAGAGTAAGACAAAAAGAAGTTGAAATTGATGCTCAACTTTAGAATCTGTATGATTTCAACAAAAGTTGGAGGCTCAGCAAAAATCTGGAAGTTCTAAACAGGGTTTTGTTTAGAGTAGAAAAATAAAGTTGTCTTAATGAAATGTCAAGCATGAAAAGTCTAGCAGATACTCAGCTTGGACTTTTCAATAAAATATTTTTATAGGATTGGAGCTCAGGATATAGACTATGCATCTGTGTATGTGTATAGTTCATATATATGAATTCTTCCTCATTTTTGTTGATCTCATCAGGGTGGTGGAGGAATGTGGAAATAGTAGCAGTATCACTGGATTAAATAGTATGTCTAGTTTTATAAGTTTTTTTGGTCATAGTTACAAATTGATTCCTAGAACATCTAGACCAATTAATAGCTCTATTGAAAATATATTAATTGACCTCTCTTCCTAGAGACCTCCAGTCTTTCTCATTTTCTTTACGTTTTGATTTTGCCCACATGTTGGACATTAGCTTATGTCCTAGCATTATTGTAATTTGCATATCTTTTCTTAAAAGTGTTTTGGAACATTTTTTTTCACATACCTATTGACAATATGAATTTATTTCAGAAAGATTCAGAGGTTCCAGTCAAGATTCAATTTGAAAGTAGATATTACTTTAAAACCATTGACACAGTTAATTGTATATTTGAGAAAGAAAACTTAAAAAAAAAAAAAACTTGTTTCAAGGATTTCCCCTATCCCCTGGTTTCCTGCTTTTCTTATAATCTTAGCTGAATTGGGGGCTTTGGGTAATTTAAAAATAAATATATATAATCAAAATTATTCATTTTGCCTCTTGTGAAGCTTTTCTTTCATTTTTTTGTCATAAACTCTTCCCCTATACACAAAACTGATAGAGAACAGATTTCTTCTAAAATTCCCCACTTACTTTATATCACTCTTTCTATTGAAGTCACGTACCCATTTTTAGATTGTCTTGGAAAGCAGCTTAAGATGTTGGTAAACATGTAGTTTCTTCCTGACCACTTTCTTGTTTTTCCACAGTTTTTGTCAAGTAATAAGGTCTTGCCACCAAAGCTGGGATCTTGTGTTTGTTGAAAACTATGATGTAAATTTAACATCTAGTCCTCAAAGGCAACTTTCCTTCCCAGATTTTTTCCCTTAATTCCCTTGAAATTCTTGAAATATTGTTCTCCAAATTAATTGTGTTGTTATATTGCCTTACTGTTCATAGTAAACCTTATGTAGTTTAGTTTTTATGGCACCGAGTACATATATTAATTCAGGCCGTATTGTGCTTTTTATTATTTTGCTTTGGCCTACACATGAGCAATTAATATTCCTCAAAATAGATTTGTGCTTTCCCCCATTGATAAATGGTGAAAGGATATGAAGAGGCAGTTTTTGGAGGAAGAAATTAAAGCTATCAATAGTCATATGAAAAAATGCTCTAAATCACTACTGATTAGAGCAATGCAAATCAAAAAGATTCTGAGGTACCCCATCACATCTATCAGATTGGCTTACATGACGAAACAAGAAAAATGATACATTTTGGAGAAGATGTGGGAAAATTAGAACACTAATGCATTGTTGATAGAGCTGTGAACTGATCCAATCATTCTGGAGAGCAATTTGGAACTATGCCTAAAAGGCTATAAAATGTGCATACCCTTTGATCCAGCAATATCACTTCTAGGGCTGTATGCCAAAGAGATCATAAAAATGGGAAAAGGACCCACATGTACAAAAATATTTATAGCAGCTCTTTCTGTGATGGCAAAGAATTGGAAATTGAGGCGATGCCCATCAATTGAGGAATGACTGAACAAGTTGTGGTATATGAATGTAATAGAATACTATTGTGCCATAAGAAATGATGAGCAAGCAGACTTCAGAAAGCCCTAGAA